GCCACCCATACAGCTGGGTATTTTACCATTGTAAAATGGAGGTTTAAAATTGCGAGAGATGATCCGAAGACTGATACTTTAAAGAATGACGGTTTCTTGCGAGCGGCTGTACATTTTCTTTCCGTAAGATTACCCCTCATTAGGATTACATCATGTTGTGTAGTTATTAGCTATATTGGGTAACATTTTATGCTTAGTTATGCTTTTCTGGTATTTTCCTTGTACATTTAAACATACGTAGTTAGCTAGATTCAAGGAGATTCGGAGAGAAATTCAGAAGGTATAGACATGAAAGGCTAAACATAAGAGGGAAGCTAACCGTTTCGCCCAAGAGACTTGCGAAAGCTCTTGCAGCCCAGTTTACATTTAGGACAGGCAGTGCTTAAGAAAGATATTAACATAACAAGACCCATCCTAAAGTATTTTCTTATATTTCAGGGCACTTCTAGCCCCCTCTGACCCTCTTCAAAGAGGGCAGGAGGGGCAGCTGCCCCTCCAGCCCCCCTGTGTAGGCGCCCCTGGCTACAAGAAAGCGCAGGGGGGACAAATTTAGGCCTCAACTTTGATAGGGGATGCGACGTTCGTCCGGAAAGACCGCGATGGCAGTCAAAATTTCTGAAGAGAAAATAAAAAGAGAAGGTAGTGATTGCCTTTCGCTTTTCGGATCGAAATGTCGCAAAACTGTGCAGCCTTTAGTGCGAACTTCTATCCAGTCCTTTTTCGATCTGCGCATGAAAACGTTGAGTGAAATGTTGGATGAAATGTTGGATCGTTTGACCAGGGCTTAAAACGTGTTTGCTGAAAACAATCTATAGTATGTGCAGGAAGTTACAGGATCCATAAGAAAAAAGCGTGACAACACGCTTCACACAGACATTACTTCTTCTCAATTTTCGACGATCCTTTCAATCAGGTTACATTACGAGCCAAGGGCCCCGCTTCTGTCTCTTATGCATTTAAAATTAAATGGAAAAAGACGAGCCATTACCAATTTATATCAACAATAAAAAATTTGGCCACGCCTACAGCCATGGTGATGAGAACATCTTCTATAAAACATCTTAGACCACATGGAAAGGTATGAATATAATGATTAAAATGGGATAAATAAGAATACTGCCTCAAATGATTAAAGAGCGCAGAATTTCATTTTGTACAGTTTTGTCTGTGATAGGGTTTCACCCACAGAAACTCACGGATCCCTCTTAAATTCAACATTTCCAAACTTCCAAACGCACAGGGGTCTTGGATGCGAACAAGCTGTCATTTGTGGCCTGTAATAAAAAATTAAAACACTTTGCCATTTGAGCTTATATTCTTCTAGCATGAAACGAAGTGGACCAAGAGAGGAACCCTGAAGATTACTGCACTGAACTTGTTTCTGTCTGTAACTGTGATAGTTAAATGGACTGTACTTTTGCCATTATGTTATGATGATGTTTTGATACCTGAGTTTTTCAGAAGCTTCCAGAAGTTTTAGGATCTAAAAGGTCAAGTCAGAGAAGAGCAAGCAACAGTCCAGCTAAACATGCGAAAAAAGTGAGGAATTCAACAGTCTCCGCGAAAAGGGCCAAACCAGGAGCTAGAAAAGGAACAGCGCGGACAAGAAGGCAGCCATTTATACAAGCGGCAGTAGTCTGGTAGTCAGATGCTGATGAGGAGGACGGTGCTTTCTCTGCTGAAGGAGCATGTTTCATTTTGTTGGATTATAGAAGCAAGGGCAAACAGTGAATCAATGCCATAATGTATAATCAGAATTCTCATTCATTAAAATGAAATTATGCCCTCTTTTATGTGGATTCCGAGAAAAATATAGTACACAACATGCATTGATACGCTTGGTTGAAAACTTAAAAATTTATCCAGACAATAAGAAAAAAGCAGGTATAATAATGAGGGATTTATCCAAAGCATTTGATTGCCTCACACATGACCTCTTAATTGCTAAATACATGCGTATGGGTTCAACAAACAATCTCTGATGTTATTACAAAATTACCTAAAGGAGAGCATATAACTTTGACATGTAAACTTTGAAGAGCATATAAAGACTTATTGAAAGTATCCATAAAAGAGCACTGAGAGTGGCTTACAATGATTTTGAATCAAGTTTTGAAAATATCCTCTCGCAAAAAAATGATGTCAGGATACATTAAAAGAACCTAAAACTAATAGCAATAGAAATATACAAAATAGTAAATAACTTAAATCCAGTATTTATGAAAGAGATATTTCAGTTGAATGAACTTGCATATAATTTACGAAATCAATTGTTTATACAAATAAAGCCGAACACTGTCACTTATGGGCTAGATACAATATCCTATAGATGTAATGAACATTCGATCGACAGAAAATTGTAAAGTATTCAAAGCTAAAATTAAACAGACGGATCTTACTTGCTCGTGTAGACTATGCACACCATATATTTCTAATATTGGATACTTGTAAACATCGCGATTGTTTCTTAGTTATATTTGTTATTGTTACAAGTTGGTGTTAATTAATTTGCTAATTACCAACATTAGATAAAGTGAGTAAAAAAAGACGTACTTTTATTTCAATGTATTGTTTCTTTTTATGATTACATTGTTACTGTGGACAACAATTGTCATGTCTTGAGGGTCTATTTCCATCCTAGCTTGATTATGAGATCATTTTTAGCTTTCTCTATGCAGAATATATGTACAATCAAATATTATCTGGACCGGTAACCAAATTGTAAGTAACCTTATCATACCCTCATCGTCAAACTTGGACTAGACTATCTTCTCTACAGAGATAAACTGAAAGAAGATCCATTTAAGGATAGAAGCCAGTTGAAAAACCCATATAGATGAAAAAACCGAAAAATAAAGCTTAGAAACCTGTCTTATAAAGAAACCTTGGGATTTTTCACCCTCTACACCGGTAAAAACCTCTAAAAGTCTCAAATGTCAAAATTCGTGCAATGGCGTGGGGCAGGGGAGCTGCAGCCCGTACCCTTCCTGCCGACGTGCCACTGTGCAAAGATGGTTTGTGTGGTTAAAAAGTCAACGTAATGATGACATGTTAAATATGCACTGGCTATAAATCGAGTTTGCTAGTGCAAAAATGGTTTGATTTTCCCCTAATGCTGTCATCACAAGTTAATGATTATTGGAATATCGATAACGCTTTCTCGCCGCAAATACTTTGAAACTTGCAGGTCAGATATAATTTCTTCTGCCAATGTAGGCGGACACGCTAAGATGTGACGAAAAAGGGGAAGTTTCATTTTGTGGTATCGTGGCCTTATTGTTAATTCTTTGGCAGCGGTCCGAATCAAGATATTGAAGGCTTAATGATGATAATTATTCTCTACACTCTTTTCTTTATAAGAACCAGTAAATCTAAGCTCAGGCTGACTGTTCTCATCTTTTGTCGCCCCTTCCCCCTCTGCTTTTTCACTCTCAAGCCATCCTTGTCTATAGCTTTTTGGTACTGGAAGCGTGTCATTATACTCCAAACATGAACAAGGAAACAGTGATGCAGTATCGCAATGAGAAAATTGGTGTTGCGAATCAATCGTTCTGCACTTGCATTTTCTTGGTAGTGCTACATCCCGATAGTCTATGAGCTAAGAGTTTTGTCTTCTTGCACCAGAGTTTTGTGGAGCACCTTTCAACAGGCTTTCGTGGTAACTGCTGCATTTGTTGCCAGATTGAATTAATTCACAATTTAGATAGCAATAGAGCACGTGCAAGGCTTTTGGAGCTTTAGCAAACTCAATTATTGGAAACATGTCTATGATTCCCACGCTCACCGCCGAGGGCTTTCAGTGTAGTCGGGCACTAGCAGGTTCAGTTAACTTGAGCCTAGCTCATACTAGCGATTTTTATCGCCAGCAACGGAGATTTTTGTCGCTGGCAACTAAAATCGCTAGTCTGCGGGGAAAATAATCACAAGATCGCAGCGACAGAAACAAATATCTAGCATGCCAGATATTTTTTGTCGCCAGCAACTAAAATCAGGAAATCGTAAGTGTGCGAGGTGCATTAACTTTCAGAGAACGAAACAGTTAACCTCTCACGAATTCCTTCTGCAAACGTAGTTCAGACCCATCGGTCTATATGGAGTTCTTGAGAATAGTTTATTATTCGCTTTGCAAAAGAGGGAAAGGGAGACTCTCTTTCTGAGAAGAATTGAATCTAGTAGTCAGTGGAGAATGTTCAACGATTCTTTTTAATCGGAAAGTTGCCATTGAAGCTCGGGAATTTTTTCCAATATGACTGATCACGTTAAGGATTCAAAGAAAATCACAAATGGTTTAGAAAAACTTGAAGAATCATTCATTTGAGTCAATGAGTCCATCTAACCACATGAAAAGGTTGAAGTATGGCGTAGATATTTAATGGATGGCTGCTTTCTCATGTCGAGTGCAGGAATTTTTATACAAAGTTGAACGTAATCTCATTACGTACTGCTTCAGACGACAAGATTAATCTGATAAAAAGCCATTTTATTAAATGTACCACCGACAATTTATTTACCTTTATTCATTGAAAGCTATACTTTTATCAGCAAAAACAATCTCTTCGGTGTATCTGAGAAGTTATTCTCAACTGAACTAAAACTATTTGAAAGCGAATCCCCAGCTTCTCAAAATTCAGTTTATTTGGCTTTTGGGGAAGACCTTGATTTGCTTAGCATTATTGTCAAAGTAAACTGCAAAGCATACTCAAATTATTTGTATTTATGCAAGAATATATTGATTAGAAAATGTTCTACATCCCATTACAATAATGCCGTTCATCTAAGGGATATATGTTCATTTTCTTAAGTTTGTTTTCGAAACCTGTGTAATGTTCATTCGAACTGGCAGGTAAATGTAAGGGGGCACGCAATGGGTAAACAAGATTTGTAACGAGTGTTGGCATAGGACAAGTTCAGTTTTTGGGTCAAAACTAGACCTTATTCAATCAAGATGAAAAATAGAAGCATATTAAAAACACAGTAAAAAGAATTGATAAGAAACTTACAGAAATAACATTACTTGTTGAATTGTTGTCATCAACTTTGACATATGAGTTGAAAATTGGTGCTGGTCTGCCATGGTGATAGTAGCTGAAAAATATGTTGTGAAAGCGAACGATTTCGTCCTCTATTTGCCAATCTGTGTCGTTCCATGATGCATTTAAAATCGGCCAAGAGCCCAAATCTACAAGGAGTTTTTTCAGGGGCTTGGCACCTAGAAGGTCAAGACGAGCTTCGTCATTACACGAGTGATAAAAATCGAACGCTTTTTTTACGGCACTTTCATTTTTGTATGTTCTGTCTTTTAGATTAAGAACTCGTTTGATAATGTTTGCGTTTTTGTCCCTCACGCTAGCAAATCCATTCCATTCTGATTTGCTTGCCGGTAAGAATGAATTGGCTTTCCAACCTCCACAAGCAAATTCGTAAAAATTTTCACATGGATTTACCGATAAGTTGGCACCTTGCATCAGTTTAGCTGCAACAGTCACACAATCTCTGGTCATACATGTATTGATGGGCTGGTTCTGCTTGTCGTTTATGCGTACGATCAGAACAATAACTGCAACACACAGCGCCATGAAGCCCAATATTAAAAGACTTATGATCAGAGACCGTTTCGTCTTTTGATCACTTTTTACTTCCACATTGACACCACTGTTGGATAGTACAAGAGATTCTTTTCCGTCAATTTTTTTAACATTTTTGCCGTTCACTTCCTCGCAGTCATTCCTGACTGCAGCAAACATCTCTGCTTTATTGTTGAAATCCTTTAGCTCCGCCATTACGAAAGGCTTCCCATTAAACTCGCTCATTTTCTACTTCAGCCTATTTAAATAAAACGCAAAGCCAGGGGGTTAAGTATTCTGTGATTCGTAGTTTGCAAAATCTGTCGGCATATCCTCTACAATCACCCATCTGCCGTAGAACTTGCAAGCAAGACTCGATCTTTGTTTCCGGGTGCATTGCTTGATCTGGTATATAGTTGCTTTCAGCCTTACGTCATTTAGCAAACATAAACATTTTTTCGTATGTTGAGATCAGGGGCGGACTGGAATGATGTTCCTTTCCGGGAAATCGACCGTTTGGGGCCCAAAAGGTTTGCATTTCGTGCATATGTTATAATTTACAATTGGAATGTTACAGTATAGTAAGGCATTGATTAAAACAATGCATCTAAAATTCACTTTGCTACAAAGGAAATTATGTGGATTACTTTAGTGAAGAGGTTGGCATACTTCAGTATCAATTGTCACTTAACAGTATAACAACGATCATAAGGGACGTCAAAATTGAGGGTAGGGGAGTTTAGTGTCGGCTAAAAGTTGCAAAAAGTATCATTGTTCAGTGGTTTGACAATTTAACGGTTTAACAATAAAATATGACCATGAATAAGATCAAGAGGTTTTGTTAGGTTTTAGTATTAGCAGTGTTCGGAAGAGTTTTCAGCCAAGAAAGCTTCCTCCAGCCAAGAAAATTTTACTTTAAGACCTTTCTCATTTTTAATGGGTTCAAAATGGGCGTGGTCAGAAAAACGGAGTACTTTACTAGTTTGTATTCCCTCTTCTTGCAACTCTGTTTTCTAAAACATTTTAAAAATTTGTAGTCTCTTTTCAATTATAGAAAGTTTTTGGACAGATGTTAATTTACATGCTTATGTCAACTATTGACAAAAGTGTGTCATAATTTGAATGACATGAGCATTATAAACATTTAATGCCTAAACATTTTACGGTGCAAAGCAGTTCTACAAACACATTCACATAAAGGAAACAAGAGGTTTATAAATTTTATTTTGAATTTTTTAGCTTTTTATCTGGCTGTATTTTGAAAACCAAAAGGCAATCAGATTTCTTCAACCAGCTCAACTTTTCAAATATTTGGCCACCTTTCTCTGCTTATTTTTATTTCTACAGTGGCCGTGGGTCCGTGATGTTTTCCTGACACTATGATTATTAGTTTAGTTGCCAAAATCAAATCTTATAAAGTTTCCAAAATCGAACCTTTTTGAAGTCAAGCTAGTCAGCCCATTCAATCTGTCTCTTCTATAACCACACCCAACCCTACTCACTCCCAACCTAACTACCTAGATCCCCTCTTACATGATCAGGGGGCCTCAAGCCTCTTCTTTCTCCTAACTCCTGGGTAAAATCCCTTCCACATCGATACCCAACCCTATCCATCCCGTTCCTTCAATCTTGATGCTTACATTTACAAAACAACAGAGCAATGTCGATGGCAAAATTTTGTAAAATAATACAAATTTCGAAAGTGTGACTTTTCTGCTAGTAACCGTGAACCTTGATGAAGGAATACGTAGGGTGCCCATGTGCAACGACCATATTAAATTAAAGCCTCGGAATGTCCCTTGGGAGTTTCTGGCTGGTGACTAACTTATTTAGATACAATCTCATATGTTTTTCTTTCCTATTCAAGCTATTGCCGCTCAAATTTCTAGGGGCACCCTGGCACCAAAAATCACTCCCTATCTGAGATTGAGGCTGTAACCAGGTGATCGTTTCTACTCTTTTTCACCTTCTCCTTTTTTCACTTTATATTTGATCGTCTATTCAACATCTTAGTAAGGAAAAATCACTTAGTATCCGTGATCAAATTGCCGGGATCTCGTTTTGACACTTATTTCGACATCAGAACATACAGAAAATAAGATTGGAGGTTCCTGTTGAAAATGCCAAGAACACCTCCGCAGAGGTGCAAATTGATGACTGCAACTCAAAAAGCGTCAAATGCTCATTTTGAGGCTATTTTTACAAATAGAGGGGCAAATCGTATAACTAACGCTGTAATTGATGTAAATGATTCAATTTTGTAATTAAAAATATAAAAATCCTGTGCGATGATGCTATAGCGACTATTTTGATTCAAGCTCCTCCACAGCAACAAAAGTTCAACTTCTTTATTTTGGCTCGAGAAAAAACTCGATCCAGACTCTTTAAGAAATGACGCCTGCACTCTGGAAGAGAGGAAAGTAAAGTTAAAAACAAGTTCTTAGAATTTAAATGTCCGGCTCCCATGGTTGTAAAACAAAGCAAAAGATATGATGGTACAGGATCTTACACTCCTCAGTTTGACCATATCGGTCTTATAAACTTTTTTGAATCATGATTTCTTCGGAAATAGTGTAACAAGTGCTTTTCATGAAGGGTCATCATCAGGTGCTTTTCCCCAATTATTGGACACAATCAAACTGATAGTTGAGTTCATCAAAATAACCAAATCTTAATCAACTGGTTAAAAGTCTTCAACAAACAGTTTAAAGTAAAAATTAGTGTTGTTAAGCTAAATCGAGGAACAAACATAGGTTCCTCAATTTCAACACGCAACTTGTTAATATCATCTATACCTTTACATGTCTTGCGCTGCGAGTTCTTGCATATTCTCAGAGGGAGCTCAATGAAAACAAGCTGCTATTATTACCGCCACAGCCAGAAGAAGTTGACAAAATTTGAGACCATAGGGTCATAGCGTTGATGTCAAATATCATCTCTCACTTTTTGGCAAGGGAAAATTAAAAAAAGATCCAAGCATATAAAAAGAACCTCGAAATAAAAGAAGAGAAGAACAATATCAGAAGATTAAAGAATTAACATCAGCGTAAAGAAATATTGGTGATATCTAGTATTCGCACTTCTTACTTATTAGCAACTTTTTATCTGAATATTCCATTAAAATTTTCATCTCATTCACTTTTTTGTATTTTGTGAGGCGGAATATGGATTTTGAGACCCTCAAGGGTTGTGTACCCAATTATACCCAGATTGACAGCTTTACCTCTACTTATGCAAGATTGCAACTAACGAAATTCCTTCAGAGAAATGAAAGTCACAGCATAGTGAGCATAGCAATCTACAAATTTACGTTTTTAGCCCATTGCAGCCTCCGTGGTATAAAGCCTCGCAGCCTCTCATGCATTCAGCCTTCTTTGAAATATGATTTACTCGATTAGCTCAGCAAAATGACAAATTCGTAAAAACATTCAAATCCACTGAAAGTCAAAGAAAGAAGGAATTTGAACCCCCTTCCCCCTCATTTCATTTATGAATCATTGCCATATCAATCACTGCCTTTAAAACACATACTTCCTTGTCTGCACCTTTCTCCCACGTCTGCCCATGGAGACTTAAGCAGTTTTGCCGATTCAGTCAAATCTACGAAATATATTGCCGTCGGCGTAACTAGAGATGTGTGTGGGTGCAGGTACACCAGCCAGACAATTCAATCAACGCTGCTGCATCATAATATTTAAGAAGAACGGCCCAGGGAACAGCTCCTTGTTATTAATGCTACATTTAGGATGTATCAAGACCATATACTCTCAGATCCATTATATCGAAATGTTAGCTCATACTCCATCTATCGGAAAATATTTTGAATAACATTCGAAAACTTTCAACCTTCGGTCATTTCCCTGTTCTCATTTCACCTTTCACATTTCACCTTAACAATTTCACCTCTTCTTTGTTTTTCTCCAATCCATTTTGACCCATTTCCCATTCAATATGACGTTTTCCTCCTCAAACTCTATTGCTGTCTGAAAATGGATTGCATATTGTTAGCGCTTGATTTTCCATGGAGCTGCCTGCCTTCGATAATTCTCTTATTCAAGGAGCTTCAATGTTGCCATATACCTAGTAACATGTTACAGCGTTTAATTACAAGTCTCTCTTGCGTATTTCGTTTCTCTGCTATTTGCCCTTCTTTTCATGCAAAATCCCTAAATTGCCGTCCCAGTATGATTTCCCTTCTAAATTTCCTTGACGACATGACCTGCTCCATCAATGAAACGATCCATGAAACTTTGGGTATTTATTGGGTATGCTGGAACAGGAATCACAATGTTGTTAGTAGCTCTAATTCAGTTCTAATCGTTAAGCTCTATCGTTGTAACAAATTTGAGAATTATCATAACCTCTTTCTTGCCTTTGTTGTATGCTCTGATTTTTCAACTCCAAGAAACGTATATACTTCATTCTTTTTGGGGTTCATCGTCTTCATTCTAATTGATCAACTTCCGAAAACAAAACAATTTCGGCATCATTTGTTACCCTTTTCTCGGCACTTCTTTTAGCCCATTTTAATACCCTGTACAGTGACCAGCTTGTACAATTATATCATTTACATCTTTCAAGACTTTAAAACTCATTTAGCATATTTTCAGACCATCTGTAAACAAGCCTTGCATGCGCTTGACATTGCTTTCGGGTTGCCCATGAGATTAAGAACTGGTACCGCTGATAAAGAGATCCCGAATTGTCTTTTGCTCCATGTGCGTGATGTGTGAGTCCACCATCAGCGAGTACTGCAACCTCTTATACGTCAGACAGGAAGATCGTTTCAAGGCGTTTTGCATTCCTGTACAATGGAAAATGGCAACGCGTAGCGAAGGAAGCAAGTGGTTCTACTGACGTTTACCAGGAATATATTGAAATCCATAGGTTCATAGACACAGAGGTTGGGAAAAAATCCAACACCTTTGGGTTATAATCCCATGCTTATGTTCAGGTTTCAACGACAAAGAAAGTTCAATTTATTTATGTTACTTTTGTTCTTGTTTTGCTTGCCTTTGAAAAGTGAAATAGGGATTTGAATTATCCTTGCATCTAAAAGTTTATCCTGAAGAACTTGCTTATCGTTATGTCAAAGTCAAAGGATAAAACTCTACAAAGAAATGATAAAAAGGCTTACAAACATTGTTTAGAATTTTCATTAGGCATAAATCTATGCTGTAAATATTTTAGATGCTGTTTTCCGGCACCTTTTAAAGGTAACTAATTATAATAGAATGCAACAGTGCACTGACTTTCTCTGTCTTTTCTTAAACTTGCACCTGCACTTCAAGCTGTTACCTGATGAAGAATCTCAACTCTTCAATTATGTGCTGGTTACACCACTGACATCTCTGTTTGCATTTCCATCATTTTTCATGCTTCATTGCAGAAAAACATTTCTCA